GTGCATCCCTCCGATCACCGGAATGAATGAACGAATCTGCAAAAGAGCTCTCTCACTGACTCAACAAACGAGAAGGAATGAGTCACCCAAGCATCACTCTCTTGCCTTGCATCGCTCTCTTGACCTGCATCACCATCTTACATGCTTCGGATGGGATGCGGGGCGAGCCAGACTTCTGTTTATCTGGTCATGTCTACTTATTTTCAGCTTCATGCCCTTACTCTTCTCGACGAAATTATTCTTCATGGAGCAGGGAAGGTGAGTGCTTCTCCCCAACATGAGGCAAGAAGCTATTAACATGTACCCGACATTAAGCAGGGAAGATGCATGTTTCTCCCCATCATCAGTCAGAGAAGTTGGGCATCTCCCCGACATCAGGCAGAGAAACTCTTAGCATTCACTGACATTAGGCAGGGAAGATGCATGCCTCTCCCCAGCATCAGGCAGGGAAGGTGCGTGCCTCTCCCCAGCATCAGGCGAGGAGGTGTGTGCCTCTCCCCAGCATAAGGTGGGAAAGGTGTGTGCCTCTCCCCGGCATCAGGACGGGAAGGTGCGTGCCACTCCCCAGCATCAGGCAGAGAAGCTTTAAGCATCTCCCTGACATTATGCAGGGAAGCTGACATTCATGTAATTTCCATGTTTACGTTTATGTTTTTAATTAGTTTAGATTGATTGTTACCTTGGAAATTACACACTTTTGGTGTAATAGTTTAATTTGTAAAAATGTTTGTAATTTGTTTAGATTAGGTTTATACTGAGCTCAAACAGGTCCAAGATCACTCTAGGGACCATTGGTGAACATCACAAATGGAAGGAAGATGCAAAAATCTCAAGATTCTGATTTTTGGTGTTGTACCCGATCGGGTATGACCTAAACCCGATCGGGTAAGTCGCTGAAAAAATCGAATCGGATCAACCGGGAACAAGGGAACATGCAGGGGAGATTTTGGCACGATCGAGTGTTCATACCCGATCGGGTGGCCGACATACCCGATCGGGTATGACCCAGTTTTTTATATATCCGCGAAGCAACCGAGTACCCGATCGAGTGCCCTTACAGCCCGATCGGGTACACGACCCTGCAAGCCTAAAAAGCCTATAAATACACCTCATTTCCCCCTCATTAAACTCACCAATTCACATATACTTCTTAGCTCAGTTTAGACAAGCTCTTTCTTTATATTTTCTTCATGTTTGGTCTCCAAATGAGGAGCTAAACTCTTCCATCTTGGTTTTGCTACTTTGAAGCTTAATAAATTTGTAAGTTGTTAGTTATTTTCTTTAATCTTCTTCCTTGAATATTAATTATTTCCTATTCATATTCCATATTAATATTTTGAGCATTACTTAAAAGATCAACTAGTTTTGTTTCATATATTAATTATTACTAGAATCAATCGATTAATACGCTTGTTATTAATTCGGTTCTTTCAACGGTAGTAAAACTTGGATTATTAATGCATGCGTCTCATGGTTAATAATCTAAGGGGAATTAATTATATTGATTAAACCAATAAACCGCTTGTGTTGAGGTTATCAATCTCAATCGTTTTCATCTTAAGTTTATTGCTACTATCGGGCTAATATACGACGCTTGTTCTATATTAACTTGGTAGTAAGTTTTATTAATGAACGCGTCTCGTTATTAATAACTACCCTCGATGAACTGGATATACTCCTCGATTGAGTATTCGAGAGGAAGATAGTTAAAGATATAACCGGGATCGACGAACATTTCATTAAGTGGATAAAAGCAAAACCAAGTCCTCATCTCTATAAATTAAACTCATAGAAGTCGTTCATCTTAGTGTTAATTAAATTAAATCAAATCAAACTTAAAACCCCCTTGTTACTGTTTATATAAAAGAAAAGTATTCCTTTCCCTGTGGATACGAACCTTACTTCACTATACTACGTATTAGTATTGTATTGATTAATTATTTTGAGTGCATTTCACGACAAAGTGCACGTCAGAAGCTGCATGCTTCTCCCCGGCATCAGGAAGAGAAGTTGTGTGCTTCTCCCCGACATTAGATGGATTTGCATCAGATGTCAAAGGTCTAGATTTAGCATCCTTCGTCACATCCAATGCAGCAAATGCGCTTCTCCGACCATCCGTACCTACAAGGAAACGAAGATCAGGGTAGGGCAGCAAGTGCACTTCTCCAACCTACCATACCTATGAGGAAACGAAGGTCAGGGCAGGGCAGCAAGTGCGCTTATCCAACCAGCCATACCTGCGAGGAAACGAAGGTTGGGGCAGGGAAGCAGGTGCGCCTCTCTGACGTGACATACCTACGAGGAAACGAACAGAGTAAGCGAGGATTCTGCCAGTTGGGTTATCTCCCCTTACCCGGCCCAAGGAGCACTTTATATCTTTGTTCTTCTTCAAAAGCCGTTCTTCGCAAAGCAGGGAAGCTTCTCACTTTTCCCCAGCATCATACGGAGAAGCTCCGGGCTTCTCCCTTGCATGAGGCAGACCTTCATCAGACGTCAAAGGCCGAGACTTAGTATGTTGCACTGCAGCTAAAGCAGCGTGAGCACCTCTCCTACCTGCCATGTCTGTAACAAGTAATAATAGCAATCAACAGGGACTACTTATCATGGTGAACTACTCACCGCAACATCTCGAGAACGTCAGACAAGCATTATTCACAAGTGAAGACCGGTCTTTTCCATTCCCTTAGCAGATGGCGACCGTTGCAGTTGCGCGTAGTGGCCGGAGGGCTCACCTTTTTGTTGAATTTGGAAGAAGACCTTGTACTGCTAATCCGACAAACAAGATCTCGAGCTGCTAATCGGACAAACAAGACCCTAGAATGCTAATCGGAAGAACAAGACCTCGGGTGGCTAATCAGACAAACATGACCTAGAACTGCTACCCAGATGAAGGAAACCCTATGCTCTCGCAAGCAGTGGGGATCAATGTGCACAGATGTGGAGCCACCCTCTCCCGAGCATACCTCGGCTCGGCATCATCAACAGACAGCTTTGCTACTGGCCACTCATGGGCATGCCTTGGCTCGGCATCATCAGCAAACAGTTATGCGGGTGGTCTCTCCCAAGCACACCTTGGCTTGACCGCCACTAGGACTCGCCTTTCCCGAACATATATCGGCTTACCAGTAAGGAAGACACTCAATCAAGAACCGAGGGACTAACCTTCCTTTGCTTTATTTTAAGGTTCCAGTGTACTCTTTTTCCTTTACTAGGATTTTTTCCCATCGGGTTTTTTCCTAGTAAGGTTTTAACGAGGCATCCCCTCATCATAAACAAAGGAAGAAGTCTTCCCGGAAGGAACAAAGAAGATCTCGGGCTGCTGATCAGATAACAGGACCCCGAGCTGCTACCCAGACAAGGAGGGTCTCATCCATGCGCAAACAATGGGACCATAGTGTTACATGACCCACCTTTTCGGGCACACCACAAATCGTCATTATCAACGAACATCTATGTAACTAGCTATCTAGCCTGGCAACCGGGCCGATTTCAAAGTAGCTCAACTACTCCCTTTTAGCCGAGTCTACTACTTGACTAAGGGAGTGGGGGACTCGTGTTAGGATGATGGGCCAGGGCCAGTGCCATCGGCCCGTTATCCCCGAGCTTAGGCCCAACTAGGCCCAGGACGCAGTCTCACGAGCGGGAGTCGCCCCTTGCTCATTAACTTATTTATCGGACCGGTTCACCCATTAGCTTGGAGATGTATTATTAATATGGGCCAAGCCCACGTAGATTAGACTTTGGACTTATGATGGATGCCTATAAATAGGCCATCAACCCCCCATGTATTCTCTACGTTATTTTACTATACTGAAATGCTGCTAGTTTCTCTACCCGAGATATTTTCTACCAACATGTGTCAACTGCTCTTTAACGTGCGTATGCACGGACAATATACTAGTACTCCCTCTGTCTCATTTAAAGATTCACGTCCACTATTCGTCGACCAACGTGAATTGTTCTTAATCTTTTACTTTATATAAATTGCCCAATATAGGAGTAAACATAAATATAATTGCACAAATAAGAGAAAAATTTAAAGCTTCCTTCAATAGGAGTAAACATTAATTTTCTATCCTTAATACCCCTAACCTAATTAATTCTAAAATATGACTTATTTGATCCTATTAAAGTATAAAAAATTCTAAAATATTTTTAAAAAATATTTAACTAATAAAAACTAAAAAAATATTTAAAAAATAAAGAAAAAACTTTTTTAAAAAATAAAAAAATAAAACAAATTAAAAAATATAAAAAAATGATGCAGGCCTTTCCCGCATCCTCGGCCATCACCCATCAATGCGACTTCCGATCGGCAAAAAAATATCATTTTATGTAAAAACTGTCATTTTTCTTTGAAAATGTCATAAAGATGGTAGTTTTACTCTTTCAAAATGCCAATTTTTCTCGAAATTTTCCATCATGATGGCATCTCGGACAAATGTTGGCATTTTTCGATGGTTGGAGCTGGTGGTGCTAGTAGTTTTATTTAATATTTTTTTATTTTAATAATTTTTTATTTTTATTAATTTTATTTAATACGGATTATATTTTATTTAATATATATTTTTGTGTTTTTTATTTTTTATAATTTAATTAATATTATATTTTATGTTTTAATTATTAGTGAAAGTTATTGGGGCTTGGGGCTTGGGGCTTGGGGCTTGGGGCTTGACTAGGAGTATACTTGTATAAACACTAAAGTTACTCATATTCAAAACATGGTACTCTTATTTTTGAATTTTGCCTATATTTTACTCCTATTTGAGGAATTCACTCTTTATTTTATATATCTAACTTTTATCAAATTTAATTTTTCTTGATCTGTATTATAAACTTTTAATGCAATTTCTGAATATATAAATTTTATTTATTAAAAATAATTTTATTAATAACAAAATTCAATTAACTTTATGATCAGTCAAATGAGACGGGAATCGGGAGTACTATTTAAGAAATACTCCCCGGTAGTGAGACACATCTGGGCTTGTCCACATGCCTGAAATTAAAGAAAAAAATAGCCCAAAAATAAGTAGCACCAATCCTCTTCCAGTCGGTTGATTCGCGCATTCAACAGGTAGCAAACAGCAGGCAAATCATCCGGACTCAACAGGTCACGCCGGTCTCCGCCTTAATCCCCGACCTCCACCGCGCGACGTCTCGACGCCATTTCGTGGCCATCCGGACGCTACCTTCTCTCCTCAATCTGCGATTCGCTAATCACCTTGTGGTCTTCACTCTTCTTGAGGTATGTTGTTTTCGTTCAGACTTCCAGTCCTATTTTTGTTTTACTTTTAGTTTTAGCTTCTGTGTTTAAAAATTGTAGTTGTTGCTTATATTGTGAATTTGTGATGTTTAATTCGTTAATGTTATGACTTATGTGAGTTATTGTGATTAGCAGCTGTTTTTTAACCATTTTAGTGTTAAAATTACATGCTTTTTAGATGCGGTTATTATGGTTATTGTGAATTTGAGATAATGTGAATATGTGTTTATTACGGAATATGATTTTAATGTTGTTTTTTGGCTGTTTATATTAATGTGAATACATGATTGTGATTGTCACATTTCTTAGTTGCTATTTACAATGTTCATTAATGTAACGAGGTTAAATTGCCATTTTCACATTTAGTATTAATCTGACAAGATGATTTTTGTTCCCCACTAGATGTCAATGTTAGATCTGCCCATGGGGTCAAAAGCATAGCATCAAGATGGTTTACACAGATTTGATCATTTCACGCTGGGGTAATTATAGAGAGGACATGTGAAACAAAGAAGCGAAGTCAATTTCTCAGTTGTCGCAGTTGGAAAAATGCTAATTCAACTAGAGGGTCCAAAACAATATTATGCTACGAGCAGTCTTGTGCTGGGATATGCTTTATGTTCTAGCTTGCTTGCAGTGATCAACAAGTTTGCAATCACCCACTTTAACTACCCAGGGCTTCTTACAGCTTTACAGTACTTGACTTCAGTTTTGGGAGTTTGGGGTTTGGGGAAGCTAGGGTTGTTGCACCACGATGCGTTCACATGGGAAACCGCTAAGAAATTCTTGCCTGCAGCCTTCGTTTTTTTCTTGGCAATATTCACTAACACAAATCTCTTAAGGCATGCTAATGTGGATACATTCATAGTGTTCAGATCATGTACGCCCCTATTGGTTGCCCTTGCTGATACAGCTTTTAGGAAGCAACCATGCCCCTCAAAATTTACATTTTTATCACTGGTCATTATTTTGGGAGGTGCCATTGGATATGTTGCTACTGACTCCGGTTTTACATTGACTGCATATTCTTGGGCATTTGCGTATCTGGTTACCATTACTACTGAGATGGTTTACATTAAACACATGGTTACGAATCTTGGACTGAATACTTGGGGATTTGTGCTTTATAACAATTTGCTCTCGCTGATGATGGTTCCCCTTTTTATGATTATCACAGGAGAGTATGCAGACTTGTTTGCATCTATAGGGAATTTGTTCGACTCTGTTGCTCTCTTTGCAGTATTGCTATCTTGCGTGTTTGGCTTGCTCATTAGTTTCTTTGGATTTGCTGCGAGGAAGGCAATATCTGCCACTGCTTTTACTGTGACGGGTGTCGTGAATAAGTTTTTGACAGTCACAATTAATGTTGTCATCTGGGATAAGCATGCTAGTCCATTTGGGCTGCTATGCTTGCTCTTTACTATTGCTGGTGGTGTGCTTTATCAACAGTCAGTTACTCGGAGTAGCAGCATTCCACCTCAGAGGGAAAGTAAGAACACCCATAGCAATAATTTTGCAGATAAGGGTGAGGAAGAGTGCGTTTCTCGCAAAGTATCTGCGGGATGATCCCTTTTAGCATGCTACAACTATTCTCATTATCTTCATATCCATCATTCTATGTTGTTATGAAAGGTTACGGGGCATTCAACTTTTCTTTCATTAGACTTCATTGAATTTCACATTTTCACGGACTTCTCTTGTTACAATTTGTGGTTTTATGTGAGCTCATGCTGGTTGTTTAAAATTTTAAAATATAAATAAAAGCTTACATTTATTTATTGGTATAAAGTGAATTTAGTTTTTTCTCGTGAGAGAAAATATCATATTATTTAAATCACATGAATTATAAAGAACCTTATAGCTAGGGATGGACTGGGCCGGGCCGGAACCGCTACTGTTTGGGCCCGGACCGGGACCGGTTGGCCGGTTCCGGGCTTTTAGCCCGTTTGGGTGGGCCGGGCTCGGGCCCAGTTTTGGGCGAACCGGCCCGGGCGGTTCGGGCCGGGGCCGGGTCATTTTTTTTTGTTTTTTCAATTTTTTTTCCTAGGGTAGGGCTGGGTGTTTTAGGGAGGTTTGGGGGTGGGGGTGAGGGGGGCGGGGGTGTCGGGGGATAACAAGAAAGCAAAAAAAAAAATAGACATTGACCCGGGCCCGGTTTGGCCCGGACCCGGTATCAACCCGGGCCGGTTCCGGGTCCAACATTTTGCAAAAAAGCCCGCCCGGGCTCGGCCCGGAACCGGAACCGGACCGGCCCGGGTCCATCTCTACTTATAGCTTCAACTAATTAAAATTTCGATGTATTAAAATACGAATAGTTAAACGATTTAACTATTCGTATTTTAATACATCGAAATTTTACGCAAACTCTGAGAGTCTGAGTACTGCCTTGTTCTTTGATTTTTAATATTGTTAAAAAACTAAAAGCATGATAGGTTTTTTAATGAAAAAGTAATTATTTCATGACATAGGGTAAATTTCATCGTACAGCCGGTTGTACTGTGCGCACGGTACAACCGGACTTTTAAATCCCAAATCGCAGGTCGTAGGTCTTCGTCGCAGTTCGCAGGCTACCATCGCAGATTATTCTCGATGCTCGTCCTTCGCTCGCTGCCAACACAGATGACGATTCTCAACAGCCGCAACTCTCCAGCACGAGCGCATCACCTCAAACTCCGACTTTAGCGGCGGCTCCTGTGCAGCACCTGGTGTATAGCCCTAGTTGCTTCTTCTCCCTCTTTCTTGTTTTGGATTCTTCTTTTTTCTCTTTTTCTTACTTAAGTTTGGTGAGTGAGTTTGGTCATTTGTTGGCCACATGTTAGAGAAATCTAAGTTATACGTAATTCTTCAGTTGTGAGCATAATAAATGAAATTATGAGCATAGTAGACATTTCAAATGAGTTTTATGAATGCTCATTTTGTAATTTATGTATACTCATTTGATATTAGTGTAATACTCATTTTAAATGAACATATACAAATGAATATTGAACACATTAGAAATGAGTTTTATGTTAAACTCAAATGAGTATAACGCCCAAAATGAATGAGCACACACAAATGAACTTTTTAATTATTCGATACTAATTTGTAAGTTATGTATGCTCATTTTGGACTAAAACTTTTTAATAAACGAAAAAATAATAAACAAAATGTGATATATGAGGAATGAATCAGATATCACCAATGCTCACCGTTAGGATCCTAATACTCAAAAGAACAGGCTCAGTACTCATCAAAAATGATTTAATGCTCATTTAAGAGGATCTGTGATTTTCACCATAATTACAAGTTTGTCACCGGTTGTACGTCGACCGGCACCGTACAGCCGGCTGTACCATATACGAATTCATGACACAGCGGTCTGAGACCTAGCGCTTGTCTAGGGTTTGTAGGAGGCTGTGGCGATCTCTTCATTCATCGGCATTTTGGGGGCGCAGCCGCTGGAAACCACCATCGTGTGTAGATGTCTCTATTGGTGAGCAAGTCGGTTGCAATAGGGGTTAGTGATGTTTTTTGTTTTGGGCGTTGTTTGTGTCGGCTTTGTCGCATTCTGGTCATGTGTTCACAAACAAAATGATAATTGATTTTGTGCTAGCTGCAATCATGCTGAATGGGATAGCTGCAAGATAGGATGTTGAGACATTGGCTATGTTTGGCGAGCATTAGTCACTGCCTTATAACTTTTGTACTGTTTAAAAAATCTTTAAAAGCTTCTAGTTGTATGTTTGACATGCCAATTTTTAATAGCTTTTATAAAAATAAAAGATTTTTTTGAGATGCTACAGTGAGTAGCATCTCAGATAAGTCAGTAGCTTCTAGTATTAATTAGTCTTAACAGCTTATATACCAAATAGAGCTAAATCAAACAGTCAGCTTTTTACCAAACAGGTACTGCCTTTTCTTTTTAAGACTTTTCAGTCATTAAAAACTAACAATTACTAAAAAGCTCATAAAATTATATTTTTAGCTAGTTGTGCCAAACATACCCATTATCACAAAAATAATTGAACAAGAGTGGAGAGCACGATTGTCATGTGAGAGAGTAAGAAACGAATAAATGATGTAACCTGAAGAGTGTAGGCAACAACATGATATTCAACTTCAATGGAGGATATGGAGACAGTTGGTTTGTTTCTTGGATCTCCAAGAAATAAGATTACCGGCAATAAAAATAGCATAACCTATAGTAGAACGACAACTATATACAGGGGCGGATCTGGCTCTAGGCCAGGGAGGGCCCAGGCCCCTACTCAAAAAAATTACTAGAATATATAGGTATTATATTATATACTTCGTATATTGTTGGTAAGTACTTGTATAATTACAAAACAACTCAATTTGTATACAAATATTGTGTTAGCAAGATGGAAGCAGACCAATGCTTATACTGCGCGTCCTGATTTCGAAGTTTAGTTAGAGCATGTTTTTTTTTTTTACTTTTCAATGGTAGAGAGCGTAAAAATTCCTTTTTTTTCTAAAATGTCTTTGTCCCAAACCGAAAAAATAAAAGGATTCTTCCTTCAAACATATATATTTAAACTTGGTCTCCTAAATTCAATTAATACAAGATTAACATCAATCTCAAACGGTGAATGAGCTAGATATTAATATTGTGAACGCTTTTGGGGTTTTGAATACTAGCCTGAAAAATTAATATGTTCAATACATTGGGCTGGGTAGATAAAAATTAGTTCAATATACATATGGGCTTGAGGTGTTTTTTTATTCAACAAAATTCTTATTACGGTTATATTTATTTTTGTTTTTGATATTTAAATTGCAACGTATCTTATTTTATATTTGAAAAAGAATTTGTTAAATAACATACTATTTTACTATATTTTGACATTTTTTGAAATATACGTTATTTAATTAAATTTTGGCCTCACCTGAATGACAATGCTAGATCCACCCCTGACTATATAGACAACCAGCCCAATCCGCATCAGAATAAGCAACAACCACCGAGAGACTTTAACGTCATCGTAACCACAAGCCATGTGAAGACGTACTTGCAAGTACCTGTAAATTCTTTTGACAACAACAAGATGTGTAGTGTAGGGAGCATGCATAAATCGAGAAAGCAGGTGAACGGCATAAGTAATATCAGGTCGAGTAATAGTCAAATATTGAAAACTCCTACCATGCTACGATACTCAGTACTATCACTTAGAAGATCATCATCTTATGATTACCATCATAAGATGGTAACTTTTAGACCTATCTTACATGAATATTTTCCTAGCTAATAGTTACTATAATGTAGTGCCATGGTCACTTAAGTTTAAAAATTGAACATAAGTTAACTATAATTTCATTACTACTCTAGTCAATAATCACATTTTTGTAAATAATATTTATTTTAGTCATATATATGTAATTATGTCAAAACTCAATCACTCTTAATACAATGCACATTATAAAGTTTGTAAAAGCTCATTATTGCAAATTTAATGATAAAAAACATTTATAACTAAACATATCATATAAAGTCGTAGTAATATTTGAACCCAATGAATATAAATTGTAAAAAGAAGCTCAAAAGTAACAAAACATCATAAATTTGTTAAAAATGTAGAAGCGCAAAATTATTTTAATCTACTAAAAACAAATAACTACATTTCAAAACAAATTATATATAGTAAATATTAATCAAAATTCACCTTTAAATGTTTCCAAACTCGAAAAAAAATGTTTCCAAACCCGGAGTCTACCTAGAAGGTGATTTAAATGAGAAGACCAAACCACTATTTATGAAACAAAGCGTGGAACTGTTTTTAATGAAATCAGGGCCGTCTTTTAGGAGATGCAATATATGCTTTACAATGGGGCTCAATTTATTGGAGCCCCCCCAAAATTAGTATTTAGTTGTAGTTATATGTTTGTTTTTCTAGATGTTATGTATTATTTCAGATTTTAAAAGGTGTATAACTTTTAGATTATTTGTGTATACTCTAAACATTATAAAACTGTATTTCACTGAACTATCTAATCTATTTATACACAATTCTAAATTGTATATTCTTTCTTATTTTAGGGGGCCTCAATTCACCATTTGGAGATGTCATCAAGCGGCATGTCTTCCCACAAGTAGGGTTTTCCTTTTCCGCCGCCGTTGGCCATAGCCAAGGGTTGGTGCGGCATTGGTTTTTTGGTTCTAGATTTTTGCTTGGTTGAAAGAGAACAAGATTTCCATAGCTATGGATACCACAAACATCTTGTTTAATGTTGGTCATGGGCGAAAGATGGGTGCTTGATCTTTGGCGGCCGAAGGTCGTGCACTCCTGGCAGCAGGTGGAGAGTTTCGAGAATGCCCTTTCATGGCTGAGATCAGAAGGTCATGAGCGAAGCTTATGTGCTAAAGGCTAGAACATATTTGGGCTCAAGGTCATCTATGTTTGGTGGCGAAAGTGGAGGCTTGACAGGGAACATGATGAATAAGAGGCAAGGTGAGTGATGGAGTATATTCCCATATACCCCAGGGGTACCACAATCGGTGGACAAAAGGCTCCCAAACATCTCAAAACACTCAAACACGGAAGTTACACCTGAGGCCGACCTCGACACAACGACACCCGAGATCTGGAAAAGATGTGAGACAACGAATCGATAAAGGACAGAATTCCAGCCAAGGCCGACCTCGCCCCTTCGAGGTCGGCATGGACATCGAGCTCGGGGATCGCCGAGATAAGACAAAATATGAGGCCGACCTCGGGCACGCCGAGGTCGGTACAAGCACCGACATGTGCCACTGATGCAAAGTCGAGCAAAGTCATCTGGAAAGTCAACAGAAGAATCACCCCTACAAGATAAAA